TGGCGGGGCCAGACCCCCGCCCCGCACACACAGCCGGCCCCGCATCTGTCCACAAGCAGCTGCTTGGCCTCCAGGCTAGGATGGCACGGAGATCCGATGACTAATTTTAATTGTGCATTTGGGTATGGCCCTGGGGTTTGAGTACAGTAGACGAGACATGCAAAATAAAGTAGGTTCACCTGGTTTTCCAGCTATTTAAAAGACTTGCCCAAAATAAAGCAGTTATAGAAAAATGTTTAAAATGTCGATTCACATACAGGACAGCTCACAGCTGAGGAATTCACGCCGCTGCCCCCAGCCCAGCCACTGGGGTCAGAGGGCTGGAGGAACTTTGTTTTTTTTGAGAGGTTTTTGCTATAGGGCGCGTACACTCGCCAGACAGACAGAGAGAGACAGAGAGACAGAAAGCGAGAAATCACCCCCCAGGTGGGGGGGCCACGCCACAATCCCTTCTCCTCCATTCTCCTCTCGGGATCTTGGGCACGCACGCACATGCGCCCGGCGTGAGTTTTAAGCCACCGAGTCTGGGACGTGAACCGTGGTCAACTACATGGGAGTCCAGCGACATAGCCATTACCCTAACTGCTGGTTCCAGGGCTGGAGGACTTTCTAGTGAAGCAGTTTTTCAAAGTACGAGTGTTTCGATCGGGAGCTGGTCAGACAGTGATGAGCTGGCAGACAACTGGTAGGCAGCATCTCTGCCCTCTCTTCCGAACTGGAACTCAGGGGCACTGCCCACTGGGGAAGCCAGACCAGGGGTAAATGCTCAGACAGGCAGGCGCTCAGGCTTGGTGAGAGGTGTGGCAGGGAAGCCCGGGGGGGGGGTGGGAGAACGCCATGAGGGGCTGCCGGTAAGAAAGGGATGGTCCGGAATCCTTCTAGTGGCAACGTGACTGTCCCAGTGGGGCCTGAAAAAGCCTAGTCACCGTACATTCTAACGCAGCCATTGTTCCCTAAAGCGAACCCCGCAGAAGGCCCTCCCAGTACTCGCCCCAGTGCATGCGCTGTCCTCACAGGGGAGCAGCAACACGGCCACCCACAGCCAGCACGTGGTCGGCACTGACAGGCCCAGCGCTGGCACAGGGATGGTGGGAAACCTTCCGGAGCCCTGCTCCAGGCCTGCACTTAATCTGTACAAGGACCCCCAGGTAGAAAGCATGACCGTTCACCCTGTACAGATGAGAAACTCCGGCTTGCAGAAGCAAACTTGGGGCAAGTGGTGGAGCAGGGTCTTGAACCAGGCACAGCTGCTGGCCGCCACGACACTGGGCCAGCGCACAGCCTCCCTCCACACACGCATGACAGCTATCCCATGGTATCAGCACCACAGAGCCCATTTATTTCTAATCACCCCAACGGCATTACCACAACCCGGAAAAAGTTCGAATGCACTGGGGTCTCTTCCAGTTAGACCCAAATGTAACTCAATTGGTTACACAGGTCTCATCAGATGTAGTTGATTCATTTTTCTCTCTCTTTTTTTAAGAGAGATTTTTTTGCTATAGGGCGCATGTGCTCACCAGAAAGAAAAAAAGCAAGAAATCACTCCCCGGGGGCGATGGCCACACTACAATCCCTTCTCCTCTCTTCTCCTCTCTCAGGATCCTGGGCACACACACACACATGCGCCCATCCGTGAGTTTCAGCCACCGGGTCCAGGACTCAAACTGCGATCGACTTTGTGGGAGTCCAGCGACCTAACCAATATGCCATCTGCTGGACCCTGATCCACTCGTTTCTCACTTAGGGCCTACATTTTCCTATACTGCTTGTCTTTTTATTTATAATTTTCAACTGGTTAGATGTAACTCTATGAGATTCTGTTCCTGGATGGAGAATATCTACCAGGTGCAAACCCTACCAAAAAGGTACCAGCTGGCACTTAGACCACGCTCACCACCTGCCTGTTCCGGGCCCTTTCTGGAGATGAGCACCTGCTCAACAGCAGAAAAGTGCCTTCCGATTGTTTCTTCAGTCTTTCAAACGAGAGAGTGTTGGGGCATGCAACTCTCTTTATAAACAGTATCTCCTTAAGACAAGTTTTCAGAAGTAGGATCACTGAGCTGGCGTGGGGAGAGAGCAGGCAGGAGCTGGGCAGAGAGACTGCAAGGAGCCCAAGAGCCCAGACCCTCCCTCACAGACCCTGACACCCCAGCCCTCCAAGTCTGTCCCTCACCTGCAGATGAGGGGGATACAGCAGAAACTACCCCACAGTGTGGCCGTGAGTACTGAAGACAGTAGAGAGGGCAAAAGCCGTGTGGGCACAGAAAGTGGGCCGAGTATGTCTCCAAGGAGTCTAGTCGGCACTGGCTCCTGACTGGGATCCCCATTTTGATCAGTTATGTTCATATCCATCACTCACTCTGAAACCCTGACTGACAGAAGCTATGACTAGTTTACACCCACAACCGAGGAAAAGGCCTGAAAGCTCATGAACCTGGGATCCATCTGAACCACTGCGCCTCTCCTGTGTGTGGGGGGCTAGCTAGAATTCCACACGGGCACTCGGGCAGCCATCGCACATTTTAGAAACCATGAGCAGGCAGGGTGAAAACCTCCCTCTCCACCATAAAGTCAGAACTGCAGGTGGACGTCCCGCCAGAGCAGGCACGGGCACCCGACCCGCACTGCGGCACAGAGGTGCACGGGCAGCATGAGAAGCGCACACCGCCGTTCTGCACGGACAAGCTGGTGGGGACCACGGCTCAGCTTTTGCGTTTCTTTCTTACAGGCCACTATGTCCAAGATGCCTGTGTGTTCGGACCAGGAGACCTGCCCTGGATCATCCAGTCACCTTCGTTGTTTGCCAGCAAATTTGAGCCCTCCGCAGAGCCCCTGGTGGTCCTGTGCTTAGAGAGGTGGCACAGACTTAGAGTCCTGGGGCAGGCAGAAGTTCCCACAGAACCCCACTGGCACTTCCGACAGCAAAGCCATTTTAACATGAGCTGAACTGCTAGGGAGTGCTCACGTTCCTCACCATGCCCTCTGCTTCCCTGACCTGAAACACGGGCACAGGCAATCAGACAGGAAGAAAAATGACTCCTTGGTACACATTAGCCCTAAAATGAGCTGAGAAACAAGCCACCGACAAACCATTATTATCAATTATATGCCCTTATTACAGCTTTGGGGGAAAAAATGGAGAAAAAACTCAAGGTACCAGGAAGACCAACTGCTTAGGTACAAACGTGCTGTAGACCCACCTTTCCAAGCACTGAGAGCCCAGTTCCCGCAGGAGTAAGAATACCGCACGCTACAACAACGTTTTGAAGGCCTGGCTACTTCAGCATAGGAGATGCCAATAAAAGACTAACCCCCTGGGCTGCCCCCGTAGTGCAGGAGTTGAGTCCTATGCAGAGGGAGCTGGATCTCATAGTTGACTGTGTCCAAATCCTGGTTCTAGAGGCTTGAAACACACATTAGGTGTGTGGGTGTGTGCCCCCGAATTCTGATGAGATGAATGCTCCACCTGGGGCTGCTCTCTGTCTCTGTCTGTCTCTCTGTCTCTCTCTCTTAAGTGAGTACATGTGCACACCTGGGAAGGAACAAAAACAAAACAAACCTCCATGTCCAGCCCCGCAGTGTGGTGCTTAGCACTGCACAGAGGAAGGTGGAATCCACGTGGCAAACCAGGGTTTAAGTCCCAGCCGGCAGTCTTGAAAACACGCCTGGCATGGACATGTGCCCAGGGTCCCGTCCGGACGGACAACTAGAGGACAAGGACTAAGGCGTGACGGGGCCTGCTGGGGCGCGCCCACGCTCTCACTGTCGCTCGTGTGCACCCTCTGGAGTTTAAAAGATAAGAAGAACAAACTCCCACTGAAAATGAAAAGATGCTCATCAGGAGCAATCCTGGCTGGCTGAGAATAAGGAAAAGTCATTCTGGCAATCCAGAAAGAGCGGAGCCCATTTCTTTGGGTGAGATAAAATGAACCTGGAAGGGAAAACACAGTGTCCTCAGGAGCTGCCCTGAGAGCCGGCAGTTCTGTGCTGTCCCTCGCGCCCTGTCCCTCACCTAGCTGCACATCACTAGCCGCACCTCAGGGACTGCCGGGCGCGGGAAATGCGGCGAGTGGGACCAGGAACTGAAGCTCAATTTGAATTTAGTTTTACAGTTCTGGCCTGGGGCTGCCACGAGCAGCAGCACAGGTCCCAGCTTGGGTGGTCTAGGACCAGGTCTCCTCCCTTCGTGTCCAGGATGGTTACTGTTGAGAACTTCACAGATCCTCTCTCTAAGGGAGTTCAGCACATCATCTGAGACTGAGGTGTACAACTATTAAATAGCACAAGTGAAGGGAAAGGAAAAGCAGGAACTGCAGGAGAGGAATCTAAGCAAATGAACATGTAATTCAAAGGCGAAGTATAACCGACTCAGTAACCTGAAGCTTCCCAACACGAAATAGAACCAAGTCCGCTGACGGTCAGTGATGCGGCACCAGTAAGTGCGAGGCAGGATGGCAGGACGGCAGGAGAGGAGCCTCTGAAGGCAGACAGCACAAACCAGGGTGAAGCGAGCCACAGGACATCCAAATCCGTCTGTAAGAAACATCCCTTCCCTTAGATACGTAGTTCCAAGGAGAGCACCCCATGAAAATGTCAGACATCAGAGAGAAGAATGCCACTGTCCTGGGACCGCATGGCTGGCTTTCCTGCACGTGCTTGCGGGCAAGCACCACGCTCCCCCAGGCCCAAACCCCTGCACCCTGCCTGTCCAGAAAGCTCAGATTTAGTGCAATTATTCCTCTTTTTCTTGTAACAGTTCACTACGAATGAGTGTAAACCCCCCTCAAAAAAAAAAAAAAAGCTTCCATCTTCCAAGGTACCTGAAACGCAGCCTGTCTTCACTTCCCTGGAGCGGGGCCAGACACTATGAGGAGGGGCCACACAGCTGTCCCTGCCCACAGGCTGCTGCCAGGCCCGAGTGTGCCAAGTGTCACTGAGTGTTACGTCCCTCTTTTTTCAGATGGGGAAACTGAGGCTCAGGCAGTCAACAGAACCTCCTGCCCAGGCCCTACAGGTAGCACCTTCCCCCTTACAAAGAAGCGCGAACCCAAACACACACCTGACCCCCACATGTTCAGCACCATGAGGGAAGGGTCCTGAACAAACCATCTCGGTGACAGCACCATCACATTAAAATAATAAAAGCACCCTGGGGCCAGCGGGTGGCATGGTACTTAAAGCAGTCTGAGTCCCAGACCTGGTGGCATAAAAGACATGCTGGGTGCATGTACCAGGCGCACGTACCTGTGTGCCCAAAGTCCCGAGGGGAGACAGAAGGGCCTGCGGTGTGGTCACCGCCCCCATCTCTGGTGAACACACACACCCTATAGCAAAAAGAAAAGTCCTCCAAAGACACACTGGAATGCAGCAGCCCCGGGATTTGGGCTTTAGCGGAGTGTGGGGAGCGAGGGAGGGGAGGCCGTGGCCAGGAGGACCGGGGGTGGGGCGGCACTGCCAGTGAGTGTTAGGGCAGACACAAGCAGATGCTCTCTCTAGCCTGAATCAGACTCGGTGTGTATTTGTGACATAAAATAGCATTAGCTCACATGCTGGGACTGTGCAGACACTGCCGAGGTCACCCACGGTACAGGGGACCCTGAGATCACACCTCGAGCTCTCTGGGAGCAGAATGCCTCTGCTCACTCTGCTAGACTTTCCTTTACCCAAGCTGACGGCCACTGGTGCTGTGCATTACGCAGCTCGCTGAGGCTTCACAGACCACAAAGGCAGCAGAAGCTTTAACAGCCTGGGGGCCAAAGCCTGGGTCAGAACCAGCTGGCTGCTCTGAAGACAGGCCCTTCTCTACCGTCAATGGTCACCTCTCCTGAAAGAATATTAAAATAAAAACAGCACCTGACTTTAAAACACTGACACCCCTCATTCATCTACCTGCAAAGCCTGAAGGGAGGGAGCCAGAAAGCTAGCAAGTTGGATGCGACTGCTGCCCTCGGACCGTGTGGGCGCTTCTCACATCCCACTGGGCAGATGAAGCACCTGGAGACCTTGTTAAAATGCAGGTCTATTTCACAGGTCTGGGTGGGGCCTGGAAATCTGCACTTCTTAAAAAATAAACAAAGTGTCTGGGGCGATGTCCCTACTGCAGGTCCTGGGTCATGTTTTGAGTAATAAGCTCATCATTTCTGTTGCAACCTGTAATTACTCCCGTGTTTTTCTTATTACAAGGAGCAAAGAGCACAATGGGGAATACAATTAATTTTTTGGCTAGTGATTTGTTTATAGGAAAAACAAAAAAACCTAGCAACTACCTCTCTTTGGACCCTGTTCAGGAAATCAAGTGTGTATGCCGTCGTTCAGAACACGGAACCAGAGCTGTTTCACACCCTCAAGTCTCTTCTAGTGAACTGAAAAACTGGACATGGTGAACTCCTGGCTGAAGAGCAGAGAAGGTGCATGCCCCAAATACCACAGAGGTTACTGATACAGTCTCACGGCACAGGGTTCCCTACATTTCCACCGTTAGCTAAGTTCTAGCTAGCTAACGTCTGAAACTGCACTCACTTCTTTTCTGAAACTACACCACCACTCCTGCTTTGGTCTGGCAGAGACGGCTTGAGCTCCCCTCTTCTTTCTGGGCATCCTGCTAGCCGGCACGTCCCAGGCTCCCCTGCATGTAGGCATGGCCATGTAGCTGAGTTCTGACCAATGGCGTGGGCAGAACTGAAGTACCCCACCCAGACCTGGGCCACACAAACCTCCTACCAGAGGAGCTCTCCGCTCTCTTCCCACCATTTAACTGAACGGCGAGTGCCCCAAGCCAGAGTCAGGCGACAGCAGGACCCTTGTATCTTGGAGGTACCCTTGGAGGAAAGCTACTCAACCCAACTTTTACTGAATGACCCCCCCAGTACTTTGGGGTTGTTTTTCATAGCAGTTAGCCAACACTGATCCACATACTTAGTAATACTACACTTAAGAAACAACCCACTCCTGTCCCAAACAATCTCAGATATCCACAGTTCACTCTACTTTTTCTTCCTTTTGTTGTTGTTGTTTTTTTGTTTTGTTTTGTTTTGTTTTTTCAAGAGATTTTTGTTCTTGGGCACATGTGCTTGCTAGAGACAGAAAGCAAAATACCCCTAGGGAGGATGGCCACGCCGTTATCCATTTTCCTCCATTCTCCTCTTTAGGCCTGCACGCACATACACCCAGTGGGAATTTTAGGCTGCCAGGTCCAGGACTCAACTGCAGTCCACTACTTGGGAGTCTAGTGACATAAGCATCATCCCATCTGCTGGTCCTGTCCTTTCTACTTTTAACGTCTCCAAGTGTTTCTATTTCTGCCACGCAGTGCAGGCATTTGGGATACACTGAATGGGGACATACAGTGTGTGTGTGTGTGTGTGTGTGTGTGTGTGTGTGTGTTAAGGATTATTTTATTTATTATTATTTAACTTGACCAGAGAGAGAGAGAGGGAAAAGGAGAAAGCAAGTCACCAGGTCTGGGACTCAAACTGCAGTCAGCTATGTGTGAGTTCAGTACCCTAACCACCATGCCACCTGCTGGTCCCCAGTGCTTGTCTTTCACTGTCTAGTTTATTTCTCTTAGAAACTGGAGGTTAAGGTTTGGTACTTTGGTCCAGTGGTTAAGGAAGTCAGACCCCACATGACTGATCATGGTTCAAATCCCAGCCCTGGCAGCTTGGAGAAAAAACATGCCAGGCACGTGTCCATGTGTGCCTAAAATCCTCATGGGATGGAGAAAAAGAACAGAAAATGTGGGAGGGGGTTACTCTCCCCCTCTGTCTCTCTCTGGAAGAGTACATATGCCCTCTGGCAAAAAGGGAAATTAGAAAAATAGAAAATGGAGTTAGATTCCTGATAACAGTATATGGATCTATCATTTAACTTACTTCCTCATTTAAAAGTCTAAGTTTAGAATTTCAGATCAGGACCAGCAGTTGGCGTAATGGCTATGTCGCTGGACTTGCATGTAATTGACTGTGGTTCGATTCCCAGACCTTGCAGCTAATTAGAAAAATAGAAAATGGAGTTAGATTCCTGATAACAGTATATGGATCTATCATTTAACTTACTTCCTCATTTAAAAGTCTAAGTTTAGAATTTCAGATCAGGACCAGCAGTTGGCGTAATGGCTATGTCGCTGGACTTGCATGTAATTGACTGTGGTTCGATTCCCAGACCTGGCAGCTTAAACTCAAGCAGACACATGTGCATGCATGCCCAAGATCCTGAGAGGAGAAGAGGAGAAGGAACTGTGGCATGGCCACAACCCCTGGGGAGTGATCTCTTGCATTCTGTCTCTCTGTCTTTCTTTCTTGCTAGCACACGTGCCCTACAGCAAAAAGCTCTGTAAAAAAGAACTCCGGGTCTAATGGGAAGCACCTGCGCGTTCACAGTAATCCCTTCATTCCATGTACTCAATCCCAAGGCCCAGAGAGGTGAAGGGACTCTCTCAAGGCAGAGCTGGCGTGCGAGGTGCAAGGTGGCACCAAGGAGCGGGGCCTCTCCCGCGGGTGTAGGAATGAACGGCTGGTCTCCCACCGCCCCTGCTCTAGTTTCCAACTGTGCAGTATTACGGGTTGAATCAACTGTGTTTCCCCAAAGTTCCTACACTGAAGTTTCAATCCCTGCTTCCTCCAAATGCGATCTCACCGGGAGACAGGGTTGCTGCGGATGTAGTTAGCTACGATGAGGCCTGAGAGTGGGTGCCAGGCCAGCATGACTGTGTCTGAAGGGAAGCTGGGACTCAGAGAGACATGGTGGGGTGGAGGGAGTGGGGGAAGAAGGCCAGAGCCAAGCCAAGAGAAGGCGTGGGATGGACCCTTCTTCACAGCCCTCAGAACCAGCCCTGCTGTCACCTTAGCTTTGGACTTGTCGTCTCCAGACCGGGACAACGCTGGTGGAGCATGCCCGGCTGTGGCCCTCGTCTCAGCAGCCCCGCAAACTCACACACGGGGCACTCACCCGGCCACGTGGGGCAGCTTCCGCGTCTGTCCCAGACGTGAAGGGCACTTACCATCTTGTCCTTCTGCAACTGCTTCGTTTTTAAGGACATTTTCTCCCTAAGGTCCTCCTGAATTGGCCCGTGTCCTACCTTCACTGCGGGAGGTTTCAGCAGCCACCCAGCCTCTGTGAGGAAACGGGAAGCGCTGGGTTCTCGCCATGCCCTGGCCTCCACTTCCCCTGTGCAATCTGAGAGCCAGGATCCCCTTTCCTCCTGCTTGCTTCCCTTCTTTTGAAGTGCTCAAGGTACACATAACGACAGTTCCCTAGCTTTCAGTTAAATCCCCCAGCCACCCACAGCGTGACCTCAGAGTTCCCCTGCAGTGCTGTATTTCCATAGAGCCAACTTCCCTGTGAGGCCCTGGGCAGACGGCGCTGCTGCGCACACACGGTGGCGTGGTTCGAACACTGACGTTCCGGGCTGGCTGGGGCCGGGGCCGAGGGACAGCAGCCCCACACATCCGTACCAAGGAAAGGGTAAAGCTGGACTGCTTCAGCTTGGCACGCCTCTCCCCAAAGCTGGTTGCCACAAGAATCATTCCGGGCACTTCTCAAAACTAGAAATCCAGGCACGTCTACAGCCACCCTGAAGGTCTCATTCAGGAGGTCTGATTCTCAAACACAGCCCGTGTGGGGGAACCTCGGGCATAGGCCACCTGGCTTCTGTCCTCAGCTGCAGCTCCATTCCCCACCTTCTCAATGGAGCCTCAGGGGGGCTGCTGAGCGACGTACAGATGTGCCCCCCTGCACCGTCACTGCAGCACGCACGTCTGACATGGAGACACACGGAGCTCCTCTCCCACCGGCAGGAGTCCCTCTCCCTCACAGGGCTGCTCTGCTCGGCTCCTCCCCCACCTGCTGCCCCACGCTTGCTCCTGCCAGCCTTCTCTCTGCACCCCGCACAGGTCTCTCCTGCCAGCTCCCTGCCGCTCCAACTGGCCTGCCCTGCAGCCTTGACTCAGGCTTCACAGCCCCTGTCTGACAGACATCTCCAGTCGCTCTCCCTGCTCCCGTCCCCACGTCCCCACCCCAGTGGTCCTGATAGGCCCCGCCTCGCAGCTGCACCCTCTCTCCTCCTGCTCCCCACCGCCCCACACCACGCAGCCCTGCACCACGCATACCCTGCACCACGCATACCACTGCTTCCCAGTTTTATAGACCTCCCTTCCGGTACCTAGGCTGTTGGTATCTTAGCATTTTTCTATAAATCTGCCCACTCTTTCTACTTAAATTTAACAGTTAACTTTATATTCATACCACAAGTATCAAAACAGTCCCCTCTGCCAGAAATACAAAGTAACCATTTAACCTTCAGAGAATACAAGAGTCTGGTTCCATCTTGCCAAAGCTCTGGGCTTAGGTCTGTGTTCTGTGTCTCTTTCTTTCTCTAGGTGGTGAATGAATGCCAAGGCACATATTAATAATATACTAGGAGTGGGGCCAGCAGGTGGCATAGTGGTTAAGCTGCTGTATCCCATGTAGTCAACCATGGTTCAAACATCGGACCCTGCGGCTTGAAACTCACACGAGGTGTGTGTGCATGTGTCCAAAATCCCGAGAAGAATGGAGGAGAAGGGACTGTGACATGGCTATCACCCCTAGGGGTGATGTCTGACTTTCTGTCTGTCTCTACAGTAGCACATGCGCCCTTTAACAAAACACTCTCTCAAAAAAATACTAGGACCAAACGAAGACGTTCTCCTCAAAGCACACAGAGGAGACGACGTCCTGTGAATGGATAGTTAACGTCCTCTGACCGGGCAAGGACCCTTGTGAATCTCACTCACGATGAAATCCCAGCAAACGCCGCCCAGGACAGGAACTGCTCAATGAGAGCTGCTGACGGCAAGAGTAACTCACGACAGGGAGAAAGCACCCGGCGGGGGTGGGGGAGTGCGATGATGTCCAGGCCGAGGTGAGATACGGGAGCTCTTGGCACCCATGACACTACAGTAACGCCAGGCTTTCCCTGGGCCAGAGCGGCCCGGACATGACACTCTGGGCTGCGGTGGCAGCTCTGTGGGGCGAGGACGACTGACCTGCAAGACTGAGCCGTGAGCCGTGAGCCGTGAGCCGTGAGCTAGCTGCAGGGAGCTCTCTATCCAGTCACCGGCTCACCCGGTGAGCACTTACCGAGAGCCTGGATGTGCCCAAAGACAACAACGTGGGAAAGCTGAACAAGCCTCCTTCCCTGCCCTCGAAAGCCCACAGCCCAGTGGGGAAACAGATTCGTAAATACACTCTTACATTCTGATGACAGACGAGAGAGAACAGGAGGTTTAGCAGTAAGGATGCAGAGGAAGTGAGATCCCTGAACTAAGACTCGGGAGAGAGGGCCCTCCAGGCTGGAGGTCGGGGGAGGGACCCAGCACGAAGACAGAGGCGCATGCACCAGCAGTTCACTGTGGCCCGGCCTGGCAGGCAGACAGCAGCCAGGTGTCAAGAGGCTGGCTGAGTTTATACTCGCAGCAATGGAGAGCTAAGGGAGGGTTTCCAGCAGAGAGGCAGCTTGTCAGACTTGTGTTTCAGAAAGAGCTTCAGGATATTTAACTGACAGAAGCTGGGACCCTAAGCAGGTTTCCTCAGCTACCAAGGAAGAATAAACAGTGTATGTTAAGAACTCACGGTGTGACAAACTTCTGCTTTTATCTCTTTCAAGGCTCGTTCAGAAAACACACACCCACAGCACCGAAGGAAGCAGAACCTGGGGAAAGAATCCAATGTGAAGGACAACATCAACAAAGGCTTAAAAAACGATCGTGCATGTTACCAATTAACATGTTCAGCTTACGCAAAGGCCCAGAAGAACAGGAAATAAAAAGTTACGCTTAATTCCATTTTTAAATATTATGTTCACAATAATTTTTAACAAGTTATTAAAACTAAAACCACAAGCATAAAAAATCTAAAGACAAATAAGAATTCAGGAAGAACACACTTAAAATACATATGTTATTTGGGGCTTACTGTGGGAATGTTCAAAGGGGTCTTAAAAAGCAGTAGCAGAGACCAGCAGTTGGCGTAATGGCTATGTCACTGGACTCCCATGTGGTCGACCATGGTTCAAGTGCCGGACCCGGTGGCTTAGACTCATGCTGAGCACGTGTGCGTGCGTGCCCAGGATCCCAAGAGGAGAATGGAGGAGAATGGATTGTGGCCATCCCCCTAGGGGGTAATTCTCACTTTCTTTCTCTCTGTCTCACACATGTGCCCTATACCAAAACTTCCCCCAAAAGGTGGCGGTGGCGGTGGTGTGTGTGTGTGTGTGGGGGGGCAGGTGTAGCAAACAAAGGGACCAGCAGATGGCACAATGTTTGTCACTAGACTCCCACATGGCTGACCGTGGTGCATGTCCTGGGCCTGGAAGCTTGAAACTCACGCTGGGTGAATGTGCCCAAAATTCTGAGAAGAGAATGGAGCATGAGAGATTGCAGCGTGGCCATCCTCCCTGGGGGGTGATTTCTCGCTTTCTGTCTCTCTGTCTGTCTGGCGAGTGCATGTGTCCTATAGCAAAAAATATCTCTCTTTAAAGAAAAAGTAGCAGTAAACATAATAGAAAAATGGGCAAAGGGCATTGGCATTCAGTTCACAAGAAAAAATATAAAGGCCAAAACACATAATAAGATTGTCAACCTCAAGGCTAAAGAAATACCTCCCAAAACTATGACATAATTTTTTACCTTTCAGGCCATAAATAGAAAGACTGAAGGTATCCAGCTGGGGACTGTATGAGGGCAGAGGCTCATTTGTGAGTACAAGATGACATGACACGTTAGGAGCATAACTTGACAATATGAAGTAAAGTATCCCTTTTTTCAGTTTTGCCATAGAGCATGCACACTTGTCAGAGAGAGACAGAGAGAGACAGAGAGGGAAAGTGAGAAATCACCCCCGGGGGGGATGGACAAGCCGCAATCCTCCTCCTCCAGCCTCCTCTCAGGATTTTGGGCACGCACGCACACATGCCCAGTATGATTTTCAAACTGCCAGGTCTGAGACTCGAATTACAAAGACATCTATGTGAGATCCAGCTGCCTTAACTCCATGCCACCTGCTGGCCACTAAAGTAACACTTTAAAGAATTTCTCCTGGGACCAGCAGATGGCGTAATGGCTTCGTCGCTGGACTCCCAAGTAGTCGATCACAGTTGAGTCCCAATCCTGGTGGCTTAAACTCACACTCGGTATGTGCATGCATGCCCAAGATCCCGAGAGGAGAATGGAGAAGGGATTGCACCCCTAGGGGGTAATTTCTTGCTTTCTTTCTGTCTCTCTCGTCTTTCTGGCGAGTACACGTGCCCTATAGCAAAAACCTCTTAAAAAAAAAAGAAAAAGAAATAATTTCCCCTATACAGGGGACCAGCAGGGGTGGTGGTGGTTAAGGAGCTGGACATTCCCACATGGTCAACCACGGTTCAAGTCCCAGACCCAGTGGCTTGCTTTCCCAATTTCTCTCTCTGTGTCTCTGTAGTCAAATTAAAAAATAAATGAATGAATAAATAAAATAAATAATTCTTTAAAAATAAAGAACTTCTCCTATATGGCTAACTCTGTAGCCTCGTGGTTAAGGGAACTAGATCCTCACATGGCTGACCATGGTTCAAATCTCAGTCCTGATGGCTTGAAAAACACACTGGGCACAGGAGCACGCATGACCAAAATCCTGATGGGACGGAGAAATGGAGAATGAACTGTAGTAGAAACACACTAAGGGTGCTTTCTCCCTCTCCACCCCGACGCTGTCTCTCCTGGCAAGTACATGTACCTTCTGGCAATTAAAAAAAAAAAAAAAGGAATTTCTCCTATTAAAAACACGCCCACAAGTGTACACATGCACAAACGTGTACTTATGAAATTGTGTACTACAGCTCTGGAACAAGAAAAAGCAGGAAACCACTCAAATGTTCCATCCAGAGGGGAGTGGTTAAAAAAACTATGACCACCATAGAGGTATTGAAAGGAACAGGGTAAATCTGTATTCAAGGTCATGAAGACATGTTAAATTGGATGGTGAGGGAGACAAAAAGAGGTTACAAACTATGTATACTATAACCCCATGACTGTTCGGTAAGACTGCATGTCTACTCTGTATCTATCCGCAGAGGTGAGGGGAAGCATGGATGCAGGGTGTGGTGTGGCGGGGGAGACTGGACATACCAAGTAACCCATCATGCTATCACTAGAGGCTAGACTTGGGGGAGAGGGACAGAAAGAACTTTCACATTTTACTTTATATATTCTTCAAAAGATGCCACCCACAGAAATCCCCTCTTATTACCCAGGGATCATGACGGGTGCACACTGCCCCAACAAAACCCCAAGTAGTAACACTGCACTAAGGTCATTAAAATGTTGTTTAGGGTGGAAAACATCTATTTTATGGATGGTTACTGATTATTAAGAAATTATTTTTGGGGGCCGTCAGGTGGCGTGGTGGTTAAGAGTGCTGCACTCCCACAAGGCCGACTGTGGTTTGAGTCCTGGATCTGGCAGCTTGCTTTCTCTCTCTCTCTCACTCTGTCCCTCTCTGGTCAAATTAAAATAAATAAAATTAAATAAAATAATTCTTAAAAAAAAGAAATTATTTTTCTGTAAACAAAGGTCTATGCTTTTATTCCACTAGTAACATTTACTTCTATTTTCTGTATATTTAAATCTTTACTATATCAACCTTATTAAATGTACAAACTAATCCAAAAAATCAGTTTATGAGCGTGGAGACTGTACTGACCACAGCAGGACAAAGCCCAAATAGGCAAAGTGCAATAAATTGGGTACAAGTAAAAGGAGAAGAGTCTGACCTAAAAATGGGCAGGAGAAAACTAGAAGCCGCAACCGGAGCCACAGGCTAAAGGTAAGTTACTCAAGACCCATCGGGGAGTGTTTCTGCCTACTTCCTCCTTTGGGGTGAACACGGCGTTTTTACAAAGAAGTAGGAAGTCTGACACGAAGGTCATGCCCTGTGATTCTGGTCATCGATAGCGTCCAGAAGAGGTGAAGTCACTGAGACGGAGGGCAGGCAGGCGGTGGCCGAGGGTGACGGCCGGGGTGGGAGGAAATGCTGACTGGGCAGAGGTTTTCTTCAGGGAGACAGAAACGCTTAGCAACCGGACAGAGGTGGTGACTGCACGACATCATGAAGATACTAAATGCCCTGAAATGCACACCTCAAAACGGTCAATAACTTTACATAATGTGACTTTCACCTCAATATACTGATATATACACATGTAAGTATTGAAAAATACAAAAATAAGTGTGAAAAGGTTCAGTGAAAGAACTTAGTTCACTGGAATACTTACTGCTTGATCCCAATGATGGAGTTTAAGAGACAGCCCTAAATGGTTTAAATTCAGATTATCTGAAAGAGTATACTCTTTTCATTATTTTTGTTATAGAGTACATGCACTTGCTAAAAGACAGAGACAGAGAGAGTGAGCCAGCGAGAAATCACCCACCAGAGGTAATGGCCAGCTGCAATCCCTTCTCCTCTCAGGATTCTCGGTATGCCCAGCATGAGTTTTAAGCGCCAGGTCTGGGACTCAAACTGCAGTCAACTATGTGGGAGTCCAACAATGTAACCGTTGCACCATCTGCTGGTCCCAAAGAGCATACTCTTTTGAAACACAGAAGTCCCTGGCTTAGATGTTACTTCTCTCCCAATCCATGAAGCTCCAGGTAATTCCATTTTGGAGAAAGGCAGCAAGGCTGTCTGGTGTAGTCGGCCACACACAGCATGCTGCCTGGCATGTGAGAGGCCACTGGGAGCACGTTACCTAGACGTGCACAGATGTGACAGGACACTCAAGATGAAAGATGGCTGCTTAGAGCACAGCAATTTTTTTTTTTCCCTTGAGATGCTTTCCTCCCTTTCCTGAATGAAAGTAGTACAATGTATTTCACTTTTACATGTCAGGTGGAAGATTCTAGAGGATGTCTAAGCGACCAGCTGTTAAAGATACTTCTAAATGGTGGGGAAAGGGCTTAATGCTTTTGCACAGTGAGGCATGCAACAGACAGCACCTAAAAAGTTATGTTGTGTTTTTTAAAAATAAAATAGAAGTGACTTATATTTGCTGCACACATTTCAACCCTGAGACTACTGGTGGTCTAGCCAAGAACTTGTTAGCTACAATTTCAAAGCTGAGTTTTCATTTTCAGCTGGGCCTTGAGCCAACTGATAAAGCACCCATGGGAAACGCTGGGTGCCACTGCACCGATATTAGCAGTTACAAGGAGACGGGACGTCTGGTGAAAAACACTTGCACTGTCTTTCTGTCCCACAGGAGATGATGCTCAAATAACCAAACTCAGGTATCATAAGCATCACATGAGGAAACCCAAAGCAAAGCAGGTTCTAGCAATCCCACTGCTTTAGGTTTCCTGCCTGGAGAACAGAGGGCCAGAGACAGCAAAGCTGAGTGGACTCGCAAGTCCTGGTAGAAAGAGAAATGGCTGATGGGGATGAACGCAATCATCCCTGGGCCCCAGTCCCCACAGCCTACCCCGACCCAAGGATTCCATAAAGAACACCGTGTGGCCGCTGGGCTGCAGCACAACCCCAGCGAGCCCAGGCCCGCCTCGCCAGGCCCCCGTGACTGACCTGTGCCGGCCATTCATCTCCAGGCCCACCACGGGGCAGATGAAGCGTGCCCGCTGGAGGTCATCATGCTTGTCACCTTTCGTGTTTCCTTTATCCCCTTCCCAGGCGGGATTGTCAGAAAGCTTCAGTTCTGTCACATTCTGGGGAATACCATGAAAATGTGAGAACTTGTTAGATAAATGAGTCGTTAGCCCTAACAACCAGGTACATGGGCAGAGAAACTGGCGTTCTCTGAAAAACCCACAGTCGCATGGAATATCTTACCTGAAAAATTCAATTATCACTAAAATTAATTTATATAATTCTATATGTAAAATACACTCAACATTCAATTTCCCATCCAAATCCTTCCTTCTTACTTTTCTTTTCATGAAGAAACACACACATAAAATTAAATCATAAACTCTACAGAAAACAAGATTTTAAAAATTCACCAACTAGGGACCAGCAGATGGCATGTTGGTTATGTCCCTGGACTCCCATGTAGTCCACTGTGGTTCGAGTCCTGGACCTGGCGGCTTAAAACTCACACTAGGCACGTGTGAGTGTGTGCTCAAAATCCCAAGAGGAGAATGGAGGAGAAGGAATTGTGGCATAGCCATGCCCCCGGGGGGTGATTTCTTACTTTTTGTCTCTGTCTCTTGCGCAAGCACACATGCCCTATAGTAAAAAATCTTTTTTTTTTTTTAAATTAAAAACAATAAAAATTTTTTTAAAAATTTACCAGCTAGTGGGGGCGGCAGATAGTGTAGTGGTTAAGGTACTGAACTCCAACATGGCTGACCATGGTTCAAGTGACAGACCTGAAAGAGGATTGAAACTCATGCCAGGTGCATGTGCATGCATGTGTGCTCAAAATCCCAGGAGGAGAAGGGACTGTGGTGTGGCCGTCCCCGCCAGGGGGTGTTTTCTCACTTTCTCTTTCTGTCTCTCTGGTGAGTGCATGCGCTCTATAGCAAAAATCTCTCTTAAAAAAAAATTAAAAATCCACCAACTAACAAGTAAATTAGCTATGTAACTGCTACTTTACAAATATTCTATAAATATTTTGTTATTTAAAGAAAAGTAACCTCTCTCATCAAAAATCACTCGACTAGGAGAAAGCTTTGCTTTAGTCCCACCCAGGGAGGTGCGACCTCCCTGCTGACCCTGCTGAGGCGGTTCCCCATCTTTACACAGCAGAACAGAGTCAGAGCTGCAAAGCCTTGGCCTGGCAAGTCATGGGCAGAAGATACTATCATGTTCCAAGGCACAGCTACTCAGATTTTCAAGACTTCAACTTCACAAAGGCTTTGATTTAACACCTCTGTTTTTGCATTTGAAGCAGAGAGAGAGGGAAGAGAGGGAGGAAAGGGCCAGAAAAGGAAAGAAGGAAAGTAAGCCATCAGGTCTGAGACATGAACCATGGTCGGCCATGTGGGAGTCCAGTGCTCTTAACCACCACGCCACCTGCCGGCTCCCCTTTCCTTTGTTCTTTAGTGTTCCATCATCTTAGTGTTGGATGTTTCTAACTTATTTTTTGTTAAAAGTTCAACGCCATAAAACTGGATATTATATGTGTGTTTTAAGTATAGAATTATATGAATTAATTTCAATGATGACTGATTTTTTTTTGGTAAGATAATCTATGCGTCTATGGGTTTTTCAGGACTGAATTATCTTTAGTAAAAGGTAACTAAGATCAGAACAATCATTTCTATAGAACACTATTAACTAGTTGTTCTTCGGGATTATTAAAATACCTGAAATGAACATACCCAGTAATCATTTTAAGAATTCAAACAAAAAGCCTAATAACAAAAAACAAACAAAAAGTTAAAAAAAACCTCTCCAAACCTAAACTGGAAGTCGCGGGATGTGGTCGTGGCCCAAGTCCCCACGAACCTGCCTTGTGGCGTGAAGCGAGCCACTTGCAGTAAGGTGAAGGGCTGGGCCTGACGGTCCTGAAATTCCTCGCTATCTTTCTGATTTTTTTCTGCTGGCCATATTTTAAAGATCTTGTCCTCTTCACAAACCAAAAATTTGTTTTCTACTTTTATGTGAAAACTGTACCAATGAACTTCTAATCTGTAGGAGGTGCCCACAATGATGTAACAGCGATCTCCCTATGACATCTCTAACTGTGGGGGTCTTCCAGATCCGAAATTCAAGTAGCTGCGTCTAACCTACAACAACAAAGCCCCCAACGCTTACTCAGCACACTACGGCTTTTCAAAGCACATTCGCACACACAGACATGGCAAGCACACAAAAAGTCCTGGCTTAAGAGTTACGTGACCTCATGTGAATTCTGTAAGATAAAACGTACCCGCTGAGGTCGCGGGAGCCCTTCAGAATCACATCTTACCTTAATGCTTTTGATGTGAGATGCTGCCTTCCCAAGAGCCTTTTCGGCAGATTTGTCCAACAGAAACTCAATGATGGCATCTTTGTTATAAAGTCTGCAAAAACAGGATCAGTCAAAATCTGAGGGCAACAACAACCTCGGATAGCTGGAGGAGGAAGAACAAACTGAGCACAACCCAAGCCCGTCTACACTTGGTAACAGACATGGCCTGCACTACTAAGGAGTAAATTTAACTCTTTCAATGATTTCCAGAGCGCACAGAGAAACCGGTTTAAATCGAAGGTGGCAAACTGGCAGTGTGAGATCTGAACAGGGATTCTGAAATTTGGGAAATGTAACGTAAAAGTATATATTTTCAACATCCCTTGAAAAATAAAAATCAAAGATCTGGAATTGCCAGACCCACATTCTTGGCTGAAAGAACTGGCTGGGACGGAGCAGCAGCATCCCCAGGACATAGAACACCATCTCCAGGGTGCCCACCCAAGTTCCCCACGGGCTTCTTCGTGCATGTATGTGTGTAACTCAGCTCCTGCTAGCCTGCGTCTGCAAACCAGGAATTAAATAAACCAAATCGTAGGAAAGGGGAAAATCATGTTCGGAGATACACAATGGCAACATACGCCTCACAAATTTACTTGGGATAATTCATAAATGATGTACCAAGAACTACGATTACACTTTAAAATTCTCTCCGGCATCATTCAGGGAACTCGTCTTGGTTAAGTAAAGGCACCTTACCTGCCAAGTTCACAGGCAACTATGGGTCGTCTTAGTACCTCTTGACTTAGAGTGCAATAGTTCCACTGGGCCACCAGTTCAGCATCCTTGTCAACCTAATGAAAAGCAAACAAAAAAATCCTTCTCATCAATTTTCACCTCTTAAAGATGCGTGGTCCACAGTACTATGGACACACACACACAGAAACAACATCCCCGATGGGGCTCTGACTCTGTGATCCACTCCCCGTCTCATCAGACCCAGATCAAAGGCGCACATGGGCCTGGCATACACGGGGAGTCTCCAGACACAAGCCTGGGACCCCTCAAATGGATAAGCCTGAAAAGCATTGTGTTGCACTATGCTATGATCCAGCCCCTGAAACTGGGATTTTTAAGGCCTCAAATAATTAATACTATATCAAACAAAGTCCAGCCTAAACAAGGCACAGAAGGCCTAGCCCTGAGCACAGCAGTGAAGCCCTATGCATGGGGAGCCAGATCCCGTGTGACTGACCACGGTTCAAATACCAGCCCTGCTGGCTTAGAAAACATACAGGGCACATGTGTGAGCACACGCCCAAAAGCTTGATAGAATGAAGAAATGGAGGAGAAAGGATTACACTGTGACCACATCTCACCAGGGGTGCTTTCTCTTTCTTTTTCTCATGTGTGTGCCTTCTGGCAATTGAAAAAAAAAAGAAATATAAAGAAAGAGTTTACATCAAATCATTAAATTGCTCATGCAAGTGACAGAAATTTTTTTAATAATTATTTAATTTTTAAAATTTATTATTATTATTATTTAGTTTGACCAGAGACAGAGAGAAAGAAAGAGTGAAAGTGAGAAAGCAAGTCTCCAGGTCCAGGATTTGAACCACAGTTGGCCATGTGCGAGTCTGACGCCTTAACCATCATGCCACCTGCTGGCCCTGTGACATAGAAATATTTGCAGGTGTATATTAACGGTCATTTAGAAAGATGATACAGAATAAAACAAGCAGCACAGATTGATTTCTTTTCTTTCTTTTCTTTTCTTTTCTTTTTTTTTGGAGAGGTTTTTGCTACAGGGCGCATGCACTCTCCAGAAAGACAGAGAGAGAGAGAAACAGAAAGCAAGCAATCACCCCCCAGCAGGGATGACCACGCCGCAATCCCTTCTCCATTCTCCTCTTGGGATCCTGGGCATGCATGCACACGCACCCGGCATGAGTTTAAGTCACTGGGTCCAGGACTCGAACCGCAGTCAACTACATGGGAGTCCAGCGACATAGACATTATGCTAACTGCTGGTCCCTGGATTAATTTCTAACAATGGAATAGGCTCCAAAATTGCAGAATTTAAAGACTTAAAATTAAGAAGATAGAAATTTTTTAAAAAATTCAGCACAAAGGCGATATAGCTCTTCATGAAGTCAGCAATTTAACAGAAACAAGTGTTTTAATTTTTGTTTTTTGTTTATTCACCAAGAAGGAATCAAACTCTAATCCACCCTATAGCCCTCCAGTGACATTTTCACCTATGTAATATTCCACGTCCCACTCCTAAAAATGCTTGAATAATGGAACAGGTTGGACTGTTTGGGAGAAAATAATAAGAGAAAAGAAAGAAAAAAATCTATTGATTTTCAGTTTGCAGCAACAGCTGCTTAAGCTGCCTAACGCCAGGAACTGAAACAGTTCCCACAACTGAACCTTTTACTCTTCATCGAAACCCTATTAGTTAGCTTCACCTTTGAAAGGAGGCACCCAGAAGCCAAGTTACAGGCCCAGGGCCAAGCAGCAAGTAGATGAAGGCGCCAATATGAGATCCCAGGCAAGTGGGCTCTAGACACCAAGCTTACTCACTACCTTTTAACTTTGTTTTTAAAAGACTGATTTATTTAATTTTTAAAAATAACATTATTACTATTTTATTTACTATAGGGCACATACACTCATGAGAGAGAGAGAGAGAGAGAGAGAGAGAGAGAGAGAGAATTAGAAAGCTAGCTTCCAGGTTCAGGAGTCAAACCATAGTTGGCCTTGTGGGTGGGAGTCCAGTACCTTATCCACCATGACATCTCCTGGCTCCATTTATATTTTATTAAAAACAAAACAACAAAAACACTACTGCAACTGCACTCTATTTTTCTAAGAGTCACAAAGGCGGCAGCTTAAATAGCTTTTATTAAAACACTGCAATCGGTGACGGAAATCTACTGTATCTTTTTACAGACTCAAAAAGCCACACTTAGCCAGTCTGGGATCTGCTCTCTGGATTCCCTACCTCCTTCAGCCACGATCCTTTACCAATTAAAAAACCTTCCTGGGGCCAGACGGTGGAATGGTGGTAAAATGCAATGTTCCATGAGACAGTCCACATGGAAAGGTTCCCAGTTAAGTCCAGAGATCTCCCTGGGTATGCCAGGCACACACCTGCCCATGAGCCAGGGCTGACTGAAGGCTGGGGATGGACTGCAGTAGTCATCAACACCCTGTTAGGAGTGTTGTCCGTCTGTCTCTTTTTCTTTCTTTCTATCCCCCTCACCCCGCCTCTCTCACTCATGCAAGAAGTAAATAAATGAACTTTAAAAACAAAACCACTTGGAATTACTGGGGACAGGAAGAAAAGCAACAAATTACTCTTTATCCAGGGATCTGAAAACTGCTCTGTCCCCAAAACTCTTGGAAAATATTTTTCCTAAGGTCTGTCTTCTGTTCCGGGGAAGGTCCGCAATTAGAGCAATGTGTGGGCAAGACCAAACACACATTAAGTGATGCACAAATACTATCATGTACCTGCATAGAAAAGACTACTTTTCCCTATACTCTCACAACACTCACTACTCCAGAACACTTCTGACACTAGATTTGTTTTTCCCCCACACCAACCAATTCTCCAAAATAGGCTGAGTACCTCATTTTTTTCTTTTTTAGTTTTTTTTTTTTTTCCCATAGAGTACATATGCTTACTGCAGAGAGACAGAGAGAGACAGTCAGAAGGAAAGTGAGATATCACCCTCTGGGGGACATGGCCATGCTGCAATCTCTCTCTTCCACTATCCTCTCAAGATTTGGGCATGTGCACACGCATGCCTGGCATGATTTTTAAGCCATCAAGTCTGGGACTCAAACCACAGCTGGCCATGTGGGAGTCTAACACCTTAACCACCATGTCACCTGCTAGCCCTGTACCCTCCATTCTGACACTAATTACATGGACAGAGCCTCAGATACTATATGGTAAGGCCTCAGTCCCTCAAAACTATCTCCTCCTCCTACTTTAGACTCTAAGCACAAGTCCAGGTGGCCACCTGTGAGTCTGACCAAATGTCTATAAACTGGAGGTCACCCCGACCCTCTCCTCACGTTTGACAACTTGCTGGGGTAGATCACAGAACCCAGGAACACAGCCAACACTGCCGACGTACTGCATAGATATTTTAAAGGATACAAGAGAATGGCCAGATGAAGAGGGGACCGGCAATGGTTTGGAAGGGCCCTGATCACAAGAGCTGTCCCTGTGAAGTTAGGATATTACCCTTCTGCCCACAGGGCTATATTTAGAAACCCTCTATCAGTCAGACTCTGTCTTGGACTCTGTCACCGCTGCATCCGTGGCACCCAGAACGGGGACATGGTAAACACTTACACGTATAGCATGAATGGAGATGATCAAAATCCATCCTGCCTGAGCACTTGGGTTGTTGCAGATCAGCCTTCCTTTTTTTCTAAGTACTTCCTTGGCTTCCTTTCCCCAAGCTACTCCTTTTCAGCCCTGGGCATAAATAACAACTGAACTGAATACTTCTTTTGGCAAAAGCTCCCAAGTGCTAATATCCGCCACCACCCCGTGTGTATACAGGTAGGATCAGAGGGCACCTTTCATGCTCTTGGGCATCTATTAAGTGGCAGACACAATGCAGGTGTCACCTGACTAAGACACACAGGATCCCTGTCCACATGGGCGAGGGGCAGACATTCAACAACTCCAGTGGTAAGCACCATAAAGAAAAGTAAAGCAACAGAAGACAGAGAGTGGCTGACACTGCATTTCAGCTACATGGACTGGAATGACACTGAGTAAAGAAAGGACTGAATGAAGTAAAGGAACTAGCATGCAACTAACTCAACAAAGAACATCCGGGATGATGAAAAATGCTGCGGGCCGAGGGACAAGGTCTGTGTAACTGCAACGGGATGAAAGAGCTGGAGAAGGGTAGCAGAAGTGAGAGACAGGCAGGAGGCTGCTCACAGAGTCTGATGGGCACTTACTCCGATCTGATGGGAAGCCACCAGAGTGTTTCAAATACTGTAGGGATACATGCTGTTTACCTTTTATGGTTTCTCAGACTGGTGAATAGAATGTTGTGCCTGGAGCACTCACAGAGCCAGGTGCTGTATTAGACGTTTACCTCCTTTTACTATTAAAAAGCAATTGCTAGGGGCCAGAAGGTGGCATGGTGGTAAGGTGCTGGACTGCCACATGGCTGACTATGGTTTGAGTCCTGTATCTGGCAACTTACTTTGTCACTTTCTCTTTCTGTCTCTCTCTGGTCAAATTAAAATAAATAAATAAGTGAAGTTAAATAGAATAATTCGTTTTTAAAAAAGCAATTAATAGTATTAACTTTGAAACTCCAAATAACTGGATGGGACCACCGGCTTCACTACTTACCAGCTGCATGACCTTAGTCACATTTATTAAGTTACCAGGACTCAACTTCAGAAGCACAGAATCATACATAACTTGTTTGATTACTTGTGAGAGCTGGAAGTTCTTCACTCGTTTGACTACTCAAAACAGTGTGTCAAGAACTTCCCTAGCTGCAGAAAGCGGCTTCTACAGTAGTCTCAGTGACTGAGACTACCTCGGGGGAAGGGGGGCCCGTGAGTCACCCAGGAACTCAGCGTGCAGGGTGGGAGTTTATAAAAGGAGGACGAGAATTCCTGGGGTGAGGGAATGGTTGTGGGGAGACTTCTCTGAGGACAAGGGGACCGCAGACAGGGTTCAAATCCTGGTTCTGCCCTCAATAGCTTTGCAACTTTCTCCTCCTGAGTCTCCATTTCCCTGTCTGAAAACGGGCATGACGGTGTGTATCCACCGGGCTGCCGTGAGAATTTCAGGACGCACCCACGTTACGCCCGGGACCCAGTGAAGAGCTGCAGTAAACACTAAAGAATGTCCATGATTAATACTGCGTTCATTCCGGGTCCTCCGACAGGACACAGCGCAGCTAGGTCTGGAGCCCCGCCGGCTCCCCGTTCCCTGGGGGGCGCCCGCATTCCCGCCACCCCCAGTGGGTCCTCGTCACTGACCTTCTCGACCTTCTTCGGCCCCTTCACCAGTTCATGCCTCTTGGGGATTGTTCCTCCGTCGCAACCCATCGCAAGCCAGGAGTCAGAGCCAGCAGTAGAGACCCGACGCAGCCACTTCCGGGGTCGCTAGCAAAAACTGCAGTGACTTCCGGCGCGCCGCGATGACGCAGAACGCCCTTCACGCCGCAGCAGGATGAGCCCGTTGCCAAGCCGGGGTTGCCACGCAGCGCGTCACTGGGAGCTGGGCGTGGCCCCGCGGCGTGAGAGGCGGGGCGCGTGCGTGCCTCCTCCCGCCCGCCTCGTCCCCGCCTCGTCCCCGCCTCGTCCCCCTGGGTCGCTGGGTTCCTGCGCGGCCAGAACCGCTGCGCACACTGCTGGGCGGCCAGGGCGCGGGTGTGGCCGGAGCACCGGCGTCGTGGGCCGTCCCAGCACAGCTGCGCGACTGCGGATCTGGAGCGCCCTGTTGCGCGAGCGCCGGGAGCCGAAGGGCCGCGCCCTGTTACTGCCGTTAGGGACGCACGTGCACGGAGCCTTCGCTCCGGTTACCGTTTCCGTCTGGAAGGAGAACGCGGTAACTGCGATCTCGGCGCCGGCCCAGCCCCAGTGGTTCTGCAGCAGGTCCTGGGGCAGAAGACCCTCTAGCCACAGCGCGGAACTTTCTGGTGCTCCGTGTACGTTGGATGTGGTGTATATGTGAAATTCGCATACAGTTTACACACGTGTACACACTCATCCAGAGCCTCCTGAAGCCAAGGCCGAAAATATTTATTAAGAAGTAGGTGTACGGACCAGCAGATGGCTAATAACAGTTACGTCACTGGCCTCCCGTGTAGTCAACCCCGGTCTGAGTCCCGGACCTGGTGGCTGATTTCTAGCCTTTTGTCTCTGGCTAGCGCACTCACTTTATAGCCGAGATCTCTCTTATTAAAAAAAAAAAAGGTTTAATTGGGGCCAGCAGATGGCGTAGTAGTTATGGTCGCTGGACTCCCACCTGGCCGACTCCCGTTTGAGCCAATGGCTTGAAACTCCCCCGGGGCACTTGTGCCTGCGAGGCAGCGGATGATCCCAGGAGGAGAATGGAGAAGGAATTGCACTGTGGCCACCCCCCACCCACCCCGGCGGTGATTTCTCACTTCTCCTTTCCCTCACTGACTGTCTCTCCAGACGATGCTGTTGTTCTTATAGAAGGTACACCATTGTCTCCATGCCCTTTCCAAGAGACTGATTATACATAAGGTCTTCAAAAAGTTCATAGAAAATGAATATTAGGAAAACTATGCACGCATTTCAATTTTTTTTTGCACAAAAGTCAACTTGTACTTTAATTCCATTGTGGACTGAATTCCCCTTGTGTCTATAAAAAGAACACAAATCCCTGCAAAACCTCTGCTAGAATCTTCAATTGCTCTTGGGCTTTTGACCTTTGTTCCTTTAATTATTGTAAGTATTAGGGGATCTCTCTCCACTGCTATTAAGGCAGAACTTTAAGACTGATACTACCATGTTGGCCTAAATAAAACATAAATACAGTAAAAAAAAAAAAAAAAGAAAAGAAAAGAAAAGAAAAATTGACTTACTTGGGAACAGTTGCCCAGAAAATAAGGGGATGTGAAACTTCAAGGTCTATATATGAATTTAAGATACCTGTTACTGTGAATAATGGGAACTAAAAGAAAATAATCAGTTTGTTTTATTCCATGGCATACCCTGAGTATCTAGAGGAGTCACTGGCATCCTCAATAAACCAAAAGAAAGAACAGGCTCATTCAGAGAGCAGCAAGCCTGGTTTTAGCATCTCTTAAGAGGGTAAGTATTATTAGAAACCCATTTACAGATGAGGAGACAATCTTTTTCTAAGAATTGTTTTAACTTCGTTTATTATTATTATTTTAAATTCGACCAGAGAGAAACAGGGAGATGGAAAGAGAGCAGGCCGCGAGGTCTGGGACGAGCTGCAGCTGGCCATGTGGGAGTCTAGCGCTTTTAACCACTGTGCCACCTGCCAGCTCTGGAAACAGAATCTTGAAAAGATGCATGGACTTGTTCAAGATCACATGACTGGAAGGCGAGCCAGCTCAGGACTAGTTCATTCTCACAGCAGAGGACAGAAGGTTAGATAAAAGAGCGAAAACCTGAGGCTCTTTACACAGACTTTAAAATGCTGCTCTTCTCTGGCAAATAAATCTGCCCCTCACCAAGTTTATTTGGGGACAGAGAAACAAAACTAGCTGATCTTTATTAAGCCAAGACCATCCCTGGACAGTGTGTAGGCACTCTCATGATGTGGTGACAACCTCAGGACAGAGGGCGTGTAGAGCTATTTTAGAAATGAACCCAGGCCTCAAATGTGCAGTGTCTGGACAATGGGCAAGCAGAGTGGAAGATAAAGGGCTTTCTCAGGCGGGGTCCCCTGGACCTCACCTCTCCCGAGAAGTGCTGCTGACCTGGCAGTGCCGGCTGTCAGCCAGTATTCAGACTCGGGCTGCAGGACTCCTCTCCCTCCTTGGTTCCGTCTTTTAGAACGTTGGTCTCCATGCTGGTCGGTTTATCGCCATCATCAATACCGGCTGATGTGCGCGGAGAGCTGTCTGCCCTGCCAGGCGCTGCGTTCAGCGCTTCCCTGGGTTTGAGCCCTCAGTGCTCCCAGCTGCACTGGGAAGCAGGTGGTGGTCCCGTCTGCTGCCTCCGCCGTCTGGATGGGATGAACCAGTGAAGGATACTCGCTTCTGAGGATCCTTGGGGACAGAATCATCATCCCCTAGTAAAACCAGTATTTAACCTTCTGGGTGTCATGGAACCCGTTTGAGAATTTGATGAATGAGGAATTTTGCGTACAGGTTATACATGTTCGTATTTAATTCACAGCCTGTTCAAGCCCAGGCTCAGGCCGTACTTCAAGTGCTGCTAAACGTTCCCCAATATTTCAGACTTGTCAACTGCTGAGGCTTTGAGTTTCTTAGAGTTCATGGGCTCCTTCATAGCTTCAGTTAAAAATATGAAAATTGAAAACTTAAAAAGCCTGGGGCCAGCAGATGGTGCAGCAGTTTGAGACCCAGACCAGGTGGCTTGAAAATCCCGGCAGGCACGTGTGTGTGCGTGCCCAAGATCCCGGGAGGAGGGGAGGAGAAGGGATTGCTTGGTGTGGCCATTCCTCTGGCGGGTGATTTCTCACTTTCCTCTCACTGTCTCTCTCTCTCCAGCAAGCGCACGTGCCTTAAAGCAAAAACCTCTTAAAAGAAAAAAAAAGCTGACATGCAGAGTGACTCACTTTAGAGTGAGCATTAAATGCTTTCAAACTTCAGATTTAAAAATAAAATGTTTAGTCATCTAGTTTTTCCATGAGTGAAAGAGAGAGAGAGAGAAAACTTCCAACAGGGTCTTGATGCCACGATCCTTCCCCAGCTCCAGGCAGCCCCAGGTCATGGGCACACCTGTACCCGGTGTACTCAACAGAGTACTGTCTCTGGACATGAATCCAGAACCTTCCCTGTGAATCAGCCTCGCAGAATGTTGTGTTTACTGCTCTACCTTTGTGCAGCCCCAAGATGTTCGAAGAATTTTACAACCATAATTTAAGGTCACACTAGGATGGAGTCCCAAAAAAGGTTAAAATGAAATAAAGTGTAAAATCGAGGCAATGACTAAGATAATTCAAGAATAATTTATTCTTAATTTGCAGTTTTAGGGGATATTCAAGACCTTCTGCACATTGGCCCCTGGCTACCTCCTAGCTCTCTTTTCCTTCCCTTTGCAGGCACCAGCCCACTGGCCACCCTCCTCTTGAACTGTGGCATGACTTACTGGTCCCTCTGCAGGGACCAGCATGTGCCCTACATGTGCCCATCAGGCTCCCTGGGTGATGCAGCGCTGTGCTCCTGGGTCCCCTCCTTGGAACCATCCCCACTGACCTCTCTGCATCAAAGGGCACCAAGTCCTGTTGCACCAACTCTCACTTTACTGCATTTTCTGCATTGCCCTTCCTCCCAGCGTCGAGATACAGTGAAATTCTGGTATTTTGCTCGCCATGGACTTTTTGCTTTGCCTTCTTTTTTTTTCTTTGGAGAGGTTTTTGCTATAGGGCACATGCGCTTGCCAGAAAGAGAGACAGAAAGTGAGAAATCACCCCCCAGGGGGGATGGCCACGCTGTAATCCCCTCTCCTCCATTCTCCTCTTGGGATCTTGGGCATGCACGCACACACGTGCCTGGCGTGAGTTTAAGCCACCGGGTCCAGGACTTGAACCATGGTCGACTACATGGGAGTCCAGCGACATAGCCGTTACGCCAACTGCTGGTCCTGCTTTGACTTCTTAAGAAGCACTGCGCCGATGTATTATTTATCTCGACGACTGTGGGATCTCCTCGGACTTTGCATTCTAGGAGAGTGCCCATGCCCCTCGTTGTCCTCTTGGCTCCGCTGCCGTCTCCCCGGAGCTCCCCGAAAATACCTGTCACAGAGCACGTGTTCTCCCCTCTGGCATCTCTAGTGGACAGCGGAGGCCTGGGCAGATAGGTTGCACTCAGCCCGTATTGGTTAAATGAAGGCATGCAAGGAAAGGGCGTTCTTGTACATCTTCAGCTGACCTCCTTACGAGTGTGCACACAGACGGGCGACATTGGAGACTAGGGGACTAGGGGGACGACACACTCAGAGAAAACACAACCTTCTTTTAAAAAGTTTTTTTTTTAAAGTTACTGCCAAACACAACTCTCCAGCTTGTCACACTGGAAAATCTTACCTGGGCTCCTCCTCACTTCCATCCTGATGAAATGTCACTTAATTGAGGTCACTGCTACCACCACACCACCCACCATTTCCTCTTCCTTCCTTGGGAGGAAATGGTACAGAATTCTGGGCGTTAAAAACACCTAGCAAAATACTGCCTTACGCTTAAAAAATGTCTTTAATTCTATTCTTAAAAAAAATTTCAGGTAAATCATCTTATTAATCTGAGGACACTCACTCTAAACTGCTGTCTTTCAAAAAAAAGGAAGGAAGCACATTTAGCTACGAGCAGCATTTTTCATTATTTACACCCAGTGGTTTTGTACTTTATTGACAAAGGTCCTCAATTTGAACTCATCTCAAAAAAAAAAAGGAACTGTTCATTACTGTATTTGCTTATGAAAGACTAACAGAGTTTAAGCACTAAAGCGTTAGAACCATCGCAGGAGTGTAATGTCCTTCCATAGATATGCGCTGCTGTCATCTCACCGCTGCAATGGACAGGCCTCCCTGCAGCAACCCCTTCTCCTCTGACAACATTCCTGACTTTTGCTAGGCCACCCTGTTGGGGAACAGGTCTCCCTGAGTCTCTTCCATTTCTGCACGCTTGCTAAGCAGAGGCACTGATGGTGTTTCCTTCTGGAACATCTTTCCAAAAATTTGCAGCCAGCGGCCTAGGAAGATGATGTCTCCCTTGGGGCAGAAGCGCAGGTTTGATGGCTGGTCAACATGTGGTGTCACCCCTGAGGCAAGGGCGGCCGGGTTTGCTCAGGGCCACAAAAGATGGGTTCCCTGGCTTGGACACAAACCCACGTGTGCACAGTCTCCACCTGAGCCCCTCTTGGCCTTGCCCTCTGGGGTGTGGGGGACTCGGAAAGCAGGTCATGGAGAGTCTGTCTCCATGCAGGGAAGAGTCCCACAGCAGGCCTGGTGAGCAGCCTTGGAAAGGCCTGCTTGCAAGGTGGGCCTTTGCTTGGCATGTGAGAACTTGGACTTGGGGAGAGTTCCCATCGTGCCCAGAATGGCCAAGCTTGGCTCGTGTGTCTCAACTAGTTTAACAACGTAGATCACACTGAATACGTGCCTTCCTTCTGGGAATCCACAAATTCGTATGTGCCTGGCAGACGTGGCCTACACAGTCAGTCCCGTTAATTTTTGTTTTTTTTGGTAGTTTGTTACAAGATGCGTGCACTCACCAGAGAGAGACAGAGTGAAAGTGAGAAAGCACGCCCCCCCAAGGGGGATGGCCACAGCACAATCCCTTATCCATCCTCCTTGCACACACATCTGGCTGAATTTTCAATCTCCGGTCCAGGGCTCGAACTGCATAGTTGGCCATGTGAGATCAGCCATCTTAACCTCCATGTCACCTGGTGGCCCTCCAAGATGATGATAATAAACCAGCCCTGGGTGCTGAGGCTCTCATGAACTTCGCTGCTTGGTACCACTTCACACAAGTCGTAGGTGGGGAATTGTGACCCAACCGGTCAGGACTCTTGGAAGCCTGCACCTGGTCTCCCGTGATGTCGCCCATGCGCTTCTTCCCTCTGCCGAGTTCTCTTTGTTTCCTTTCACGTAAATCATAGCTGTGAATACAGACCGTATGTTGAATCTTGGGTGTTCTAGTGACTCACTGGGCCTAGGGGTGGCCTTGGGGCCTGAACTAATCTCTGATCAGAGAATCCCATGTCTTCCAACAGTATTGATGAAACTGTGTTGGACCAAATTGGTAATCTGAAGTAGAATGAATTCTCAGACACCACAGTTGTCGACAGAGCCATCCCTTTCTACTGGTGTGTGCGTGCGTGTGCATGCGCATGTGTGCGTATGTGTGTGCGTGTGTGTGTGTGTGTGTGTGTGTGTGGTTAGGTTCAGGTCAACGTGGTGGTATATCTTGCTCCTTAGTGAAGAGTTCAGGGGCAGGTACCTGATCTAGTCTTTTTGTAGAATAAAGCCTCTCCCTTCTCTGGCCACGAATGAAGGAGGATGTAGCCTGGGGCAGCGCCCTGCGGTTGTGAGCGTTAGCCCGGAGAAAGTGAGATGGAGAAACTTGTCCTTGGTGGTCGTGTGCCAGCCCTGAAGCCAACCAGCCTGGCAGCCAGCCTGGATTATTTTAAGATACTGAGTCAACTCAATGCTGGGTTCCTTTGTGGCTCACACAGAACGGAAGGTTTTCCATGACTTGTGACAGGAGCCTTAACCGATGCGAATCACAGCTGTTCAGTGTGGCCCTCCAGGATCTCTGCCCAGCTGCAGAGGACCACGCTTCATAATGGAGTCCTCCTTTTTAGGATCTTGAGACTAAGGAGAGAAACACCCAGTCTCTGGCAGTCCGCATTTCGAAGTGCCTGCCAGGGCGGACTCTCCAACAGAAGCTGCGCCCCATCGTTCAGGTGACCGACAGCCCAGAGGTGCTGTGCCAGGCTGCAGGGCTGACCTGGCCGAGGCGAGCACAGCCAGGGGCACATTCGCTGCAGGGGAGGATGATGTACCCATAGCAACAGGGCCTAAACACTGGGCTGCAGGAGAGGAAGAGGAGAGGTTTGACAGAGGGGAGCTCCTCACCACTTCCGCATCTGGGCCCAGCGCTGGGTATCCTGTCCACACCACACCTTCCTGTCTACACCACCACAGGTGATGGCTGTTGTCCAGCGCCAGCCCATAAGCACTTGACCTCTGGGCATCTCCCTGCGACTTCAGTGAGAAGCGTCTTAGTGACAAAAGTCAACCTTGTAGACTTCAGTACCAGAGCCTGGGTGACATGGAGAAAGGCCTTCTGAAGAAAGGTTTGCTGCAAATAATGTTTATTTCATGAGTGTATTTAAATAACAGTATACATTGTAATAGATTTGAGACTGTTGAAATACGAACCTTTGCTGATTGAGCATGGAATTTACCCCGCAGAGCCCATGCTGTACAAAATGAGTTAATAGGGACTCGACAGACCTGTTATGTCACAACGTGGGTCTTTAACTAGGTTAAGATAACAGCAAAAAAAAAATTTGGCATAAGACACAGATATATCATTTGTATCAATCTCACAGAACTAATTCATGATGGCTGTTGTCCAGCGCCAGCCCATAAGCACTTGACCTCTGGGCATCTCCCTGCGACTTCAGTGAGAAGCGTCTTAGTGACAAAAGTCAACCTTGTAGACTTCAGTACCAGAGCCTGGGTGACATGGAGAAAGGCCTTCTGAAGAAAGGTTTGCTGCAAATAATGTTTATTTCATGAGTGTATTTAAATAACAGTATACATTGTAATAGATTTGAGACTGTTGAAATACGAACCTTTGCTGATTGAGCATGGAATTTACCCTGCAGAGCCCATGCTGTACAAAATGAGTTAATAGGGACTCGACAGACCTGTTATGTCACAACGTGGGTCTTTAACTAGGTTAAGATAACAGCAAAAAAAAAAATTTGGCATAAGACACAGATATATCATTTGTATCAATCTCACAGAACTAATTCAACTCAAAATGAAAATAATTTTCTACACTTCCTAGTGGATCCCAGGAAACCTGAACGTAAGCCCCGCCCCTCCCCGTCTAGCACCTGACACGTCGCATGTGTATTTCTCCATCCTTTCCCCTGCCGCCCTCCAGCTGGGAAACTCTGTGAGGGCAGGGCCTCTCGTACACCCTATGGCTCTGGCACCCAGGACTTGGCATATAGTAGGTGCCCAATAAATAAGTGTTGAATGAATAAATTGAAAACATGCACACATGTAACAAATACAAAAAATGATTTCTGCAGCATCACTTCAAACGCTGACCCTGCACACCCCACATGACAGGCCGAATGTCTCCACGGCCTTAACGTCCAACTCTGCCCTGATCCCCTGTGGGGTAAGTCAAGGTCCAGGGCTGCTGAGCCACTGGGGATGCATGTCAGCACTGGTGTAGCCCGGTGACCCTTCCCTGCGGACGGCGGACGGCGGAGTTGCAGAGATTGTGGGTGTGGAGGAAGGCCTCACTCCAGCATCGCCCTGAACTGTCGTGCGTGCTGTTCCAGCTTCCCAGCCTGGGCCTGGAGGCGCCCCAGAGCCGCAGGGCTGGGGTACTGGAGCACCGCGTCCTTGGTGGCCAGCGCCAGGGCCTTGAGCAGGCCGCACAGCCCGCTGCTGCTGCGGAGGATCTCGTTACGCACGTCCCGCTCCTGGGTCTCCTTGCACAGCGCGTCCACCAGCTTCTGCCCCACCGTGATGACCAGCTTGCTCTGTGTGATGAAGGTCTCGGGGGGCTGGCTGTTACTGAGGCTGCTGTTAAATACCCCGAGGGCTTTGAAGAGCGCCCCAAAATAGAGCCGGCAGTGTTCCGAAAGGTGGGTTTTCTTCTCGGGGTTCTGTGGGCTCCGGGGTTGGGCTTTTAGAGAGAGAGCGTTCTAGAGGGGAGGAAGAAGAGAACAGATAAGAGGGAGCCCTGCCAGGCAGCCTGTGGTCTCCCCTTTCCTGTTACTGCTCAGTTCGTGACTGTACCAGAAAAAGTTTTGTCCGGGACACCCAATACTGCAGCGTTCGTCTGACAAGTGACTGGGGAGGTTTTCAAAGCAGTGACATATATTTTAACACACATGACCTTACATGTTGGAATACATATATATACTTTTATTTCATCGTGATAAACCATGAAAAAATCCATTCGAAGAAACATTGACAATGACTAAACGCATAACTTCAAAAATGCAAGAAAATTTGATGGCAAGATTTTAAAATGTACTCAAAAAACATTTAAAAATATTTAGAAATCCCTTCGAATTCTACTATTTAGAGGTACTGAAACTTGACCTGAACCCCCAAAATTTCAGAAGAAATCAAATACACTGACCTATCTGCCTTAATATTAAAATATTTACCTTACTTACAACGTGTCAGCAGAATCTTAATTTCATTTTCTGGAAAATGGAGCCCAGGTCTCCCAAACCCCAACTACTGAGAGATTCCAGCACCTTGGTGGCGACTGCTCCAGGTGACATAGAGCCTCTTTGCTATTGTATAGGTGAGGGACAGCGAGAGAAGAGAGGAGGCTGCCTGGGGCTTGGAAGGAAAACTAGACATCCAGAGCTCTAAATCAGGTCCCCAGCCACTGGTCTGGGACTCGAGCCACAGGACTGGCCATGTAGGATCCAGCCGCCTGAACTGCCAGGCCATGGAGCCGGCCCACCTCCCCTCGATCTCGTTTAACTTCCTTTCTCTTCTGTAAGTGTGGGAGAGCAAGAGAGAGCACACTCAGAGGTCTGTACACCGTAATGCACCCTCAACTTCAGCAGCCATGGACCCTGGGGGTGTCTGCCCAGTGTGTTCAAGGAGATCTTGGGAACCCTGAATCTTTCCACGTGTGTCAGCCTTGAGGAGCGTCACGTTACCACTGTGCCACCCTATGACCCTCTGTCTGCCCCTTGACCTCTATCTTTAAATGAATGCACAGTTTGTATCAAATTAATTTAAAGGACACTTTTTATATCGGTAAATGGAAAAGTACTGTCATTGTCACAAATAGGTAACCAAACACGATAACATCTTTAAGAAAGGAAGAACATCAAGTGTCAAAGAGGTGTTGAAGGTACACAAGCCCCAAGGCAAAGTGTCATTGTCGTCGTAACTGAAGTATTAAAGGGAAATGTCAAGGGGACTAGGACCCAGTACTGCTCATGCCATGTCGGTGCTACTCGAGATAACTGTGCGGAGCGCCAGGACCAGGTCACTACTGTTGGTAGCTCACGTCCCACACCCTGGGCTTCCCCGGCTCCAGGGATCTCCAAGGTCCCTTCTCTTTCTTTCTTTCTTTCTTTTTTTTTTTTTTTAAAGGCTTTTGCTATAGGGCATGTGTGCTCACTGGAGAGAGAGAGAGAGAGAGAGAGAGAGAGAGAGAGAGAGAGAGAGAGAGAGAGAGAGAGAGAGAGAGAGAGAGAGAGAGAGAGAGAGAGAGAGAGAGAGAGAGAGAGAGAGAGAGAGAGAGAGAGAGAGAGAGAGAGAGAGAGAGAGAGAGAGAGAGAGAGAGAGAGAGAGAGAGAGAGAGAGAGAGAGAGAGAGAGAGAGAGAGAGAGAGAGAGAGAGAGAGAGAGAGAGAGAGAGAGAGAGAGAGAGAGAGAGAGAGAGAGAGAGAGAGAGAGAGAGAGAGAGAGAGAGAGAGAGAGAGAGAGAGAGAGAGAGAGAGAGAGAGAGAGAGAGAGAGAGAGAGAGAGAGAGAGAGAGAGAGAGAGAGAGAGAGAGAGAGAGAGAGAGAGAGAGAGAGAGAGAGAGAGAGAGAGAGAGAGAGAGAGAGAGAGAGAGAGAGAGAGAGAGAGAGAGAGAGAGAGAGAGAGAGAGAGAGAGAGAGAGAGAGAGAGAGAGAGAGAGAGAGAGAGAGAGAGAGAGAGAGAGAGAGAGAAAGAGAATGAGAATCACCCCCTGGGGAGAATGGGCACGCCTCAATCCCTTCTCATTCATTTTCCTCTTGAGATCTTGGGTAAGCAAACTGGTCCCTCTCCAGGGTCTCTTCTACTGCCAACAAATGGAAAAACCAACTCTCCGCATGTGAGACATGGTGCAGTGTTGAATTATCCACTGCAAGGACACGTCTCTAGGCATCAAGCGTATTAACCAGAAGTAGGGGACGGTGAGCGTTACACTTACCGTCACGTCCAAGTCTTTGTTTTCCTCTAACCTTTGCTCCAAGTTGGGTTTTTCTTTCCCTTTTAGGTTAGGCAACTTCTGAAAAATAAAACCTCAAGTTACCCACTCGAATGGTATTTACTCTACTGCTTAGCTATTTGAGTTCACTTAAAACTTGAGCTTTCCTTCTTACAGTTTTCATTGATGATTCTACCTGAGGTCTTTTTTAACCAAAGGAGATTCTGGCAGACCAAAGGACTGAATTTTGCATACCAGCATGGCCTACTGTAATGACCCACAGTTTAAATATGTTTTTTTTTTTTTTTTTTAGTTTTAGAGAGTTTTTTTTTAAAGAACTACTTTGTTTATTTATTTATTCATTCATTCATGTATTTATTTTCATTTGACCAGAGAGGGAGAGAGAGAGAGAGAGAGAGAGAGTGGGAGAGGAAGAGGGAGTGGGAGAGAGAGAAAGTAAGAAAGCCAGCTGCCAGGTCTAGGACGTGAACCACAGTTGGCCATGTGGGAGTCCAGCGCCTTTAACCACCACACCGCCTGCTGGCCCCTTTAGAGAGGTTTTTGCTATAGGGCACGTGCACTTGCCAGAGAGACAGAGAGACAGAAAGTGAGAAATCACCCACTGAGGGGATGGCCAAGCCATAATCCTCTCTCCTCCACTCCACTCTCTGGATTTTGGGCATGCACCCACATGTGCCTGGCGTGAGTTTTATGCCACTGGGTCCAGGACACAAACAAGGGTCAACTACATGGGAGTCCAGTGATGTAATCGTTATGCCATCGGCTGGTCCCTATGTAAAATTTTAAATATGTAGATTTCAAGGTCAGCAGGTGATGTGGAGGTTAAGGAGCTGGATCCCATACGGCTGACTCTGCAGTTCAAGTCCTGGACTCTGCAGCTTGGAAAACATGCTGAGACATGTGCACTCATGCCCCAAATCCTAAGAGGAGAATGGGGAAGGGATTGCAGCGTGGCCCTCCTGTGCTTTCTCACTTCTGTCTCTCTGTGTCTCTGTCTCTCTCCAGTGAGCAAATGCATCCTATGGCAAAATACACAAATAAACAATTACAATTTCTTGAATGTGTAGAAATTCTCACGCCAGCAGGCATTTCGGCAGAACACCAAGGCTGGGCCTGAAAGTACCAAGCGTCCTCGGTAGCACGGCCCAGGTTCCCTGCTGAGCCTCTCAGGACTTGCCATCCCTGAACTCCAGCTTCCCTTCCTGTAATAGCCGAACAGTTACCCGGCAACATAATGCTAAGAGTCGCTCAAGTCTGCGGGCCACTCACACCATGAACATCTGGGAAGAACGCTGGATGATAGCTAAATGTTTAACTTTGAAAAAGGCAAAGAAAATTTGTGGCAAGATTTTAAAAAATCTACTTAAAGAACAGATTTTTGAAAGATTGTTTTTTTTACAACCCTTTCTAATTCTGGTATAGAGGTAAATCTAAACTCCAAAAGTCTTCAGAAGGAATTCAAATCCACCAACCTATCTGCCCCTAATATTAAGATATTTATCTTACTTGCCAATAAGAGTTGGTGTAGAATCTGAGTTTTACGGATTTTATTTCCTAGAGGGTGGAATCAGTGTCTGCTCAAAGCCTGCACACTGCTGAAAGACTCTGAGCGCCTCACTTAGAGACGACGCTCCAGGAAAACACTGAAGTCCCCCTCCCTCCCCTTCTCTTTTAATCTGCAGAGGGCATGTACACCTGCCGGAGAGAGACAGTGAAAGAAAGCCCCCCAGTGGGGAATGATCACGCAGCAATCCCTCCCTCCTGCCTCTCCCTCCTTTTGGGATTTTGGGCACACACTCACATGCACCCGGTGTGATTTTCAAGCTGCCACAGCGGGGACTTAAACCACACAGCTGGCCGTGTGGGGTGCAGCTCACCTAACCCGTAGGCCATGGGCTGGCCTGAAGCCCCTTTTTTGGACCACTCGGAACTCTGAACTCACCTGCCCACAGACACTTGTCCTGTGTTTCTTTGATAGTTCAGGGGAGTGTCCATTTTCCCCCGGCCTATTAAAAGGACCACTCCGTTGGTGCAGTTCGGTTTCTCTCCGGGGCAGCTGGATATACTTCTCACACTTCAGTTCTGCCTTTGGGATGAAGTGTGTGGTCTCTTGCTTTTCACAGTTCTGCTTAAAGAGGAGCCTTCCATTAGCAATGACCATGGATGCAAACCTCTTGATGTCTTCTGGAACCATCCGGGCCACCATGACAAACCGCTCAAGGTCATCCAGGTTGTTTTGGACTTTGTCGGTCACAAGAACCTCCAGGGACCAATTGCAGCCATCCAGACTTGCCTTTGTCTCCAGCAGGATCTGGTAGGAGTTAGCGATGGTCTGAAGCTGGTCCCTGATTCTGGCCTGAAGGTTACTGTTGGTGAGGTGACAGGCAGACTCACAGACTCCTCTGGCAAAATCCAGGAATTTTCTTAATGAGTCTTCTAGTTGGTTGGCAGCCCGGTGGATTGAGTCAATGTTGGCCTCCAGATAGTCTCGGAACCTCCACTTCCTGCTG